AACAAAAATAGGAGTAGCAGAATTGGTGACCATTGATCTCTATTTGACAGATAACCAGCCCTCAGACTATTCTTTGCCAAAGCTCTGTCTTCTTAGGTATAGACATGAATAATTACACACACAGGCACACACCCTCTCTGTAAGTACTTAACAATGTCACTTTCTATTAGCTACACATCTAGATTGTTGTCTCTCTTGCCTGTTAAGTGCATGTTTGAATAACATAACAGAAGACAGCCTGTCTAACTTTGCATATCAGTTCTGATATTCATGGTTGAGAAAACTTCACCTCTTTGGATTTATTTTAAGTCAAGTATGATGAATGGCCTTGGGAGTTAACAGCATAGGAGCAAAAGCTCACAGGAATTTCAGACTGAGACTTTTTTTTCCTCCCTCTTTTTGATGGCATAACCACTTCATCATTGCTGTCAAGTGAAGGCTTTATGATGGGAAATTAGAGGAGAAAGTTTGAAAAGCACGGTATTTCTGTTCTCTATGGACTTTTGTCCAAATCTAATTATATTATAGTGTATTATAGAATATTTGCACACTTCACTTTGGAATTGGATTTATATACATATGTGCATATATATGTATACACATATATACATAATATTCAAATATATATATAAAATCTTTAAATAATTAAAGGCAATACTTGGTAAATAGGTTCCTTTTTTAAAAAAAAAGATTTATTTATTTATGCATACAAGAGCTGGGGTATAGGCCAGAGGTGTGGGGGGTAGGAGAGAGGAAAGAGGACTCACCAGAGACAGAGTGGGGAACAGAAGATGCAGACTGACTGAAATACACTGTTGAGGGGAGCAGTGGGTGAGACAGGAGAGGTCTGTTGCGCCATGTGGGTCAGCTCCCTGGCAGGGGTTCAAACTTATGCTGCAGTGGCTGCGGATAGCTTCATAATACCGAGACTTAACCCCTTGTACCACTAGGGAGGCCCAATAATAGGCTCCTTTTTCAAAAGCATGTGTGTGTATCTTGGTATGAATGAGGAAAATGAGTGTGCCATGATTTTTTTCAAAACCTGATAAAGCAAATAATTGTTTTTAGTACAAATTACAAAATAAAAATACTATAGTTTCTACATCCTCTCAACTGAAATGGTTGAAAGTTTAAGACAGGTATAGTGCTCAGGTGGGGGCAGATGATAGAGAGTGCATTAGGCAGCTATTTCATCAAATAAACCCCAAATTTCAGTGGCTGACAACAAGTGTTTGTTTCATTCATTGCCCAAGAAGTTGCATAAGGTTCACTTGATCTCCTTGGGTTCAACCAAGCTTGACTCCAGGAGGCAGAGCTATGTTTGGGTCTGTTCCTGTGTGTAGTTGTGTAATCCCAGGCCTCCTAGGGCATGCTTGTCTCATGGTGGTGTCAGAAACAATGAAGCAGGGTGTGAACATGCATGATGCCTCTTAAAGGCCTTGATTCAGAGTTGGCACAATCACCATGGCCTTGTGCAATTGGCCAAAGCAAGCCACATGGCCAGGTTCACCTTCCATGGGGCAAGGGAAATCCACAGCAATTATGACAGTGGGAGGAGTTACAAAGGTAACTGGAAGAGACCTTGTGTGCTTAATCATAATGCAGGGAAGGAGTGAAGACATGCGAATAATAATCTAGCGCACCACATTTTTTCCATTTTGAAAACAAGTCATAGACACTGCCTCCAGTTTTGAATGGCCTGTTACCTTTCCTCTTTGTCTGTTTCCGTTGTATTGATAATTGACAGCAAAACCCCAGTCTGATGTTGTAGGTTAGCATCAGAAAGTGCAGCTCATCATTTGAATGTTTGGGAAAAGCACAGACTGTCAAAGTGGTCCCAAGGTAAGTTGGCTTCTTGTTCTCTGACTGTGCTGTGCGTTGTATTAACAATGGTCAACTGTAGAATTAACCAGTGTGTGTCTGTGTGGTCTATCAAGTCATTGGTATGTCTTTGAGAAGAAAATAACCAATCTGTTGAGTGCAAACATATTTGTAATATGCACATAAAAGGGAAAGATATGATTAAATTGATTAGACAGTTTTAAGCTTTATACAAAATGTTCAGTGAAGACCTATTTGCATCAGAAATTTAAACTGTTGCCTTTAGTTTTGACAGAATATACCTACCTCATTTCAGCTAATTGTTTTTCCCTTCTAAATTCATTTAATTGATGATAGTAGTGTGGTCACCACTTCATTTAATATATACAGACACTTGTTTTATTTTTGACTGATCAAAACACTTGTGTTGGTATTATTAAAAACTCTATTCAAAACTTAATAAGTTTGTTATGTTCTTTATAATAGTGAAATTGCCTGAAATCTCACCTACTTTGTCAGACTTTTGAGAATAACAGTTTTTTGTGACTTATTTCTACCCTTGGTCCTTTCCTGTTGTAATGATCCTTCCCCCAAATTACTATGTATCACAGCTTTACCTTGTATAGTTCCCTCATAGGAATATTGTCTGGTTAAACGTTCAGTATGAGAAACTGACTCTTTACAAAAATTAAAGCTATTTCCAAAATGAAGTTAACTTCTCATGTGTTGGCCTAAACTTTGCATTGTCTTTCCAGTACATAAAGAGTGAATTGCATTGTGCTGCACATCTCCTTACCCCAGCTCTGGATAGCCACTGCAGGGTGTGGAGTGTACTTGTGTGAGTGTATGTGTGCTTGTGTGTGTGCACGTATATGCACATGCATGTGTGCACATCTGTGTTGTATTTACTGGCATTGAATCCTTGTTAGTATGGGAGTTTCCCTCTCTCTTATATCTCAGTGCTGAACTTCTGTTCACCAGACAATGTACCTTTGATGATGGAGCTGTCTTACCTTAGGTGTTGTGCGTTATGTTCTCTGTGATGTATGTATTGTGTTTTATATTGTTTTATTCATGTGCATAAACTTTACCCAAAGCCAGCAAAATAAAAATAAGAAGTGGAGAGATTTAAAATGAGGGCTGTGATTATTAAGTAAAACATTTAGGAAGATTAGTTTGCATGTTGACAGTATACTGTTCCTTTAAAAAGGTTTACTTCCTCCTTTTTTGACCAATATGAACAAGGAGATGAGCCATATAAATGAATATAAAAAGAAGTCCTAGCTTTAATCTCTTCATCTACTAAAGCAAGGCCAGCATGTCCTTCCTCTTACAGTCACGATGAGAATTAAGTGGAGGCGCTTAGTGGAGTGCCCTCTGCCCAAGTTTCTTTTAGGCATCAATCGATTTTTGTGTCCTCTGATCAGGATTAAGCATTCTCCACAGTTTACAAGGCCATAAATAAAATCTCATGACACAGTCTGCCTGGAGACAGTTGGTAGCAAGGGACCCAAGGAAAGGGTGGGGTCAGGTGTCTATAACACCCTCGTTCAAAGACATCTGGCCCAGGTGAGGGAAGAGCCCGGCTGTAACTTTCTGTAGCTACATCGGAAAGGCGGAGGTGGGCGTAGACTCCCGAGGCTCTGGGCCCTCATTTTCTCAGTCAGTGACTGCAGAGAGGTGTTTAGTGGACAGCCTGCCAGAGGGCAACCTGTAGAGACACTGTGACCTGCTTCACCTTCACTTTGAAGTATGATTGGAAACCAACCACCCAACGAACAAAGAAAGAGCAAAACCTTGGCTGTTTTCAAATTTACTTTCTTCTAAAATGCTACTCTTGTATAAAGGAGACACGTGTTATTTCCACAGTCCCTTTGTTAGCTGACTTATTCTCAGCTCAAGTTACTTGTAAGTCCAGTTTTCAACAGGGTGGAAGCCGTTGGCTGGCTTTGGGTCACTGCCAAAGAGACATTAGTACGAGGATTATGTGTCATAAACACCCTGTCATATATCCAGCAGTGATCTCAATTGCTAAAGTTGCCCTGAACCTAAATCCTTAAGCCTAGTTGCTTAATATTTTGCCAAGGTCGCTTACCAGGAACTAAAATGGGACCAGGAGTGTGAGAGCCATGTGAGACTTTAGTAGTGATCCAATCCAGTTCCAGGGAAATTCTAGTGGCTTGTAGCTTGCTCACTAGGTGTCACTTTAAATGGATTCTGTGGTCTAGTTTGGATACAGAGTTCAGTTTCTTTAGTAAAGAACAGCTCAAGGTCTTTATCATGCTAACATGAACCACGGCTCCAAGAAATATAGCATGCCGCTTTCTCACCCTGATCTTACTATGAGGTCCTTTTGTTGTAGGTGTATCGCCTACAAGGATGTCTGGCAGAGGTTATAGATAGTCTGGTCCTGAGGAACATGATTCTCATGCTTAACTGCCCGGGATTCATTCCTGACTTTACCATTTATTGATATTATGAAGTGGAACAAATTGCTTAACCTTATTTTGCCTTAGTTTCTCCACTTAAAATAGAACACAGGGTTATTTTAAAGATCAACGCACACAGCGAGGGACAGTGTCTGACACATGCTTGTATATTATCATCCTAACATCGTCTAGGTAAGAATAAACTAGTTTTATACAGTCATTTTGGAGGAGAGAAAACTGAATCCCAATAATTCACTCATACAGTATCGCTCATTCAACAAAATGACTAAATGCCATTGTTTACCACATGCCTGGTGATTCTATCCCCAGAAATGAACAGAAATGCCTTCAAGGGACACACATAGTAGACTTGGCTCAGGTGACTCCATTCAGTGGTAAACCCAGGCCTCCTGACTTTGTCCTCCAGTTTGTCCTCTGATTCTGTTCTGAACAAGGAGGATCTATATAGTCTGGATTATTGGAAGGCAAGAATAGGGAGGATAGTGCAGCTAATAGACTAATCTTTTAAAACTGGGTATGAGAGCATGTGTTTTAATTCTTTCTTAGTATGGCATAGGAAGAGTCATCAGAAGAAGCATTTTGGGAGGAAAGCACACTAAAAATACACATTTATAGAAAGGGAAGTAAGAGGTAGTAAGAAGCAGTCCATGCAGGTGTCCCCAAAGAGGGCTGGCTTGATGTTTTCTTCTAGTTACCGCGTCACTGACGGTCTTCTCTGCGTTGGTCTAGGCATCTCCACCGAGGGCTTACCCTGGGACTGCTTCAATGAGCAGACAGCAGCTAAAGACCTCCCCAACAGGGATGGAGGTTCCTGGGTCCTGGGCTACAGAGCAGGATCGACTTATCCATTTCTGCTCCACGAGGAGAGAGAGAAACCAAACAGAAGTGAACTGTACTTGGAGCTTCATGTAAGTGGAAATCTTTTTGCTTGTGCTCTGATTCTTTGTGGTCAACAGCAGCCCATCTAACGTGCATTGAATGTAAATTGTACATGGAATGCTGCTAAAGGTGCATTTTGTGTGTGGGTCATTGTCTGAAAATCAGATGGTTGCAGAAAACAGATACATCTATCTTGGCGATCAGAATTTGTGCACTGGAAGGTGACTGTTCGTAGTTCATCTGAGTGCTTTGCTTTTCAGAGTTCTCTGCTCACATCACTTTGCTACCTCAGCCTTGTTGAGAGAGTACCCACTTGTTCTAGTCACCTCTTAATATCACTTTTTAAAAATATTTGCAGACACATGTTTACCTACTGTTAGGCTCTGGATTCTCCGATGAAATCCAAATAGCCTGTCTTCTTTGCACATTCCTAAACCTTTCTTTCTCTCCAACTGTTCAAATAACAGAACAGGTCAGCAGGAAATTGGCCTCTAAATACAGGATGACCCAGTGAAAACCACTGCCTTCTTTCTCATTCATTCATGCATCCATTGGCACAGAAGCATTGAGTGACCTGCACAGAGCAGTGGTAGGGTTTTAGTTACTTCTTCATTGTAGGACTGACCACATGTGCACAATTGACACTACCCCCTCACCTGCCAGTTTCCTGTTGGAGATGGGGCTGAACAGCATTAGGAATCTAAGAAGCATTTTTTCTTTGCCCCAAACTTGAATGTCTGATGAGGATGTTGTATCCCTGATTTCTTTTAATACCTGCCAATTCATTGCATTCAGCCCTGGAAGTATGTGTTTGAAGAGCCTGGATTAGGTCTATCGTGTTCATATCTATGGCAATTTTCTTAAGCAACCAAGAGTAGAAGAACCTTGTACTTTTCATAAGCATACTTTCTGTATATCATATGAAAAAACACTTGACATCCCAGTTATTGTAAAAGGAGATTTAGCCTGATAACAAGGAAATTTGTAGTTTTTCTTTTTGTCCCTCTACCTAAAAAATTAAAGCTGTGTATCTTTAGATACCCTCAAAGTAAGAAGTGTAACAGTGACATCTATTGGTCAGATAGCTTGTAAATTGAACTTGCTCTAACAGCTTGGAAGATGAGATTTTTTTTTTTTTTTTTTAGTGCATAAGCATAGATTTCATATCTTTTATTTTAAAAAAATTAATTACATTTACTCTTCTATTGCTTATCCATGTTATTACAAATTCTTTTTAAATGTATTTTAAGTGAATGTGTAATATTGCACTATACCATATACCAAAATTTATTTAATCACTTTTCTATTACCACATGCCAAAATTATTTCCAGTTTTGGAATAGTACTATAATTTGGAAATTAACAGCACTGCCACTTACATTCTTTTTCTTATTTTCCTCTTTTCCCCAACATTTAAGATTATTTCCTTAAGATAAAGCTTGGATTATTGTCTATATGTAATCGTAAGCTTTTGAAACAGATCATAGCATAAAAAGATCTATTTTCTGAACTAGACTTTAATATACACACAATATTTTATATATAAATAATAGGTATTTATATATAATAATTATATAACTATACAATGAAATATACATACATATTTCTTAGTTTTCCATTAATTATCTTTAAACATTGGGATAATTGATTTAGATCATTTTCTATGTCAGTGGATTTAACATCGGACCCTAAGACTCATCAGCTCCAAGAACTTTCTGTCTCCTGAAAATGCAGTTTGATTCCTATGTGAATGTGGATATTCTGAGTTAAGGTTTTCATTTGAAGGGTCGTACTGACTTAGTGGAAGTTCACACCTTGTTAATCATCACCACACCAGCCCACAGGACATTGTGCCTCTGGAGGGCTCTGAACACTAAGGTCACAGAGGTGCATACAGTCATGCACTGTTTCACAACTGGGTCACGCCCTAAGGAAAGCATCTTTAGCAATTTCACGATTGTTTGAATGTCACAGTGTATTTACCCCAACCTAGGTGGTATAACCTATTACAGATTGAGGCTATGTGGTGTAGCCCATTGGGACTACTCACTCATACGTCATCTGTGTGTTGCCTTTTGGGGTGGCAGTGTTGGAAGCAGTGCAGGATGAGGGAAAGATTACTCAAAGTCCATGTGAAGCAATTAGAAGCCTAGAGGGCTTCTCTTACAAAGGTGGGGTGAATGCCTAGGGAGTGTACATGCATGGGTGATGGGATTAGGGGGATTAGGGATGTACATTAGGGTGGAGTGACCAGGGGCTATTGCCTGGGGGCCTCCATTATTTCTGCCAGTCCAAATGTTGGGGGAAGAATGTCCTGAATGAACTCCACAAACACAGGTTTTATGGACTCTACCCCGACCCTGACCAAAGAGATCCAAGACGCCAAGGACTACAAATCCCATAATGTCATCACCACCAAAGGGAAGGTTGCTGGGAACTAAGGGTGGAGTTAAGCAGCCAGGCTTGGTATATAACCAGAGACCTGTGGGCCGTGGGGGGTGGTTGTTGGTTTTTCACGGCCTTCAGTGTGCTGTTGGAGTCCCGCCCAGCTCAGCGGAACTGGTAGGATGCTTTCATATACATATACATATATATATATACACTATACACACACACACACATGTTTATCTATATCTGTCTATCTATCTATCTATCTATCTATCTATATACACGCACACACATACATATATATCTCACCCTTGGTTATTCCTTTCTCCATTTCCCCTTTTTGTAAATAAACCCTGCAGTTGAGTCTCATTATAAGTGCCTTTTAAGTGCATGGTTGAGGACTCACACTCAGGCCAATCCATTTCACATTGGGGTTGCCTGGTAACGTAAGTGTGTTACCTCTATTCTACTATCTACCTGCTGTTTTCAGCAGATACTGGTTTCCCAGTATGTTCCTCATATGAGGACTTTTGTCAGTGGTGAGAGGCCCCCTTGCATGACCCTCTACCTAACTGACAAGCAGGAACTTTGGGCACCAAGACAATATCCCCAAGAACAAGGGGGAGCTAGGGATCCCACATCTGTGGTTGACTGGACCATCATGAAGCAAAGTATGACTGTACTGCTGTGTGAAATCTTGATCAGCCTTAAATGTTGGACAGGGCTGCTCTGTTTTTTGGTTTTAAACCTGATTTGCAATGTCACCATCCAGAGGTAACTTTTCTTGCCTTTTTCTGTGGTTAGACCTCTTCTCAGTGATATGGAGTGTTAGTAACAAGAAAATTTAATAGTTGATAGAGTCAGGCATCCTCAAATGGCCATTGACTTTATATTTTTTTAAAGGTTTATTCATTTATTTTTTTTTTTTTAATTTATGCAATAGCTGGGTACAGGCCAGAGGCGTGGGAGGGTGAGAGGATTCACCAGAGACAGAGTGGGGAGCAGAACAGGCAGAAGGACCCAAGCTCACTGCTGAGGGGAGCCACAGGCTAGTCAGGAGAGGTCTGCTGTGCCACGTGGTTTGCTCCCTGCTGGCTGGAAATTGAACCTGCACTGCAGAGGCTGCAGACAGCTTCAAAGCGCTGAGCTCAAGCCGCTGCACCACGGGGAGGCCCCCTGGCAGTTGACTTTAAATGTGGGGCTGCTATTGATGCTCCTTATGAGCTGGGCTTTCCTCCTTTAGTTACTGACTGGTGAGAAGATCCACGGGTACCCTAAGGAGAGTGGCAGGAAGTAGGGATGATATAGGATTAGATACCAAGGAGGTTCAGGGCAGTATTACTTACCAACTGGTATGTATTTCAGGTTTAAGCAACTAGTGCTGCCTCCTAGATGCCATGTGGCTAACTGTCAACCTGACTTGTGTAGCAAAGTTATGTTTGGGTAATTATCCTATAATCCTACTCAAGCAAATTCCATGGACCATTCTGAGGGATCTGCTCTTAAAAGAGTGAACCCGGGGCACAGTCAGTTCTAACTTTAAGTTGTGAAGTTGCCAACTCTTAAACAGGATATACTTAAGCTGTAAAATTATTTTTTACTTGTCTTATATGCAAATATAACTGGGCATCCTATATTTTATTTACTAAATCTATTAAACCTAAGTGTCACTTATGGGGCAACATCAGATGCACCAAATGTGAAGACTGCCCTAAGATAGTGTCTATATATGATAAAACCTCAGTAACTCAGAGTCACCATTTACAGCACGAGCATTACTCAGTCAGCCTTAAAGAGCAGTTTCATATATTCCACCCAATTAGGGGCTACCAGTAGCCACGTTCCCCAGTTTTTCTGGCGCATTTTGAATCAGATTCAAAGCGCCAAAATTCAGACAGACAAGAGAGCAGATAAGGCGTAACTCTGTTATAGGACAGGGAGAGGGGCAGCCCAAACCCCGCAAACCTGCCTATTCTACATGGGTTCTGCCATCCGCCGCATCAACACAAAACATAGGAGACTTTAATGGGAAGGAACTTTAATAAAACTAGGAAACAATACAGGTAAGGCAAAGAGTCTAGTTTCTAAATGAAGCACCCAAAGTTACCCATCCCCTCGTGGGTAAAACTCCATCCAAATTGGATCGGCCCAGAACAAGGCCCCAAAGCCTGCTACAAGTCTAAAACATCTTCCAGTGGGGACCCACAGAAAAGGGTCACAAACAACTGGACAAGCCCGGAAGGAAAAGAGCAAAATCAACATCAAGAAAAAAGCTGCCATTGTCACCTCCCCACGGGTCTCACCCACATCTGTGTCACCCAGTCCACGACCAAAAGACAAGCACAGTTTCTTCACATGTCTCTAGGCTCCATGCGCCTCTTCCAGGTCTCCTAGCTCCATCCAGCTTCCTTCCTCAGTCTCTTCTGCAGCTTCTTCTCTCCCTGCTCAGCTCCACCCTTCCTTGGGTGGGGCAGGGAAGCTGGAACCTCCCCCTTTCCTGGGGACCACCCTGTTACAACTCTTTATAAGAAATGCAACTTCTTGAAGACCCTATTGAGTCTTCAGATCCATGCAGGGTCATTTGTAAAATGTCTATAAATGAGGGACATGGATGGGATAGAAAAGACACCAAAATAGGTAT